ACGGCGCCCCTACCGCCCTCGTCGTCCCGAGTACGACTATTACTATGACGATGACTACGAGGAAGACCCTGAGTACTACGACGAAGAGCTGCCGGTATAATTTCTATTGTAATAATCTAACAATTGAAAAGAGCTACAAACTGTTTTAAGCCTCCATGTGCCCAAATTACCATAAACGTATTATTTGTTTAAATAACATGCATACTTTTCGTTCCATACTAGATATTCAAGGTATAAAATGTGCAAAGGGATGATGTTTACATTTTGTCTTCCTACAGAAATATTATACATGAGCCGCAATATACTAGTTGCAGTCTTTCATGAGTTAAGAGCTGAGAGTTTTTTTCTGTGCATATGTTTCAATCATTCAGTCAGTAATTAGCATTCCTCAAATTTCTGTAACCAGGCTCACAGAAGCACAGCTACAGTGCCACCGTCTGCGCATGCTGGCAACGGTCGCCGCAGAAAGCATCGTCGTCCGCAAAGACCTCTAGAGGACGACCAGCGCCGTCCCGAGTCAGCCCCTTCGGCACCCTTCGACCAGGATGACCCTCAACAACAGGCAGACAAGCCACGACCTTCTGCCTCAGTGTACGACAGACACCGAGTTCCGCCCAAAATTCGGCCTCCAGTACCCCTAAATGAAAGAAATAAGTATGACTATACGACGCGCAGGTCACCCACAGGCACAGCATCAGCACCTGAAGAACCAGCCGCCACATATACCAGACCCAAACCCCAGGCTCGTCCAGCAGTCCACCAGGATGATGAGTATTACGATGATGAAGAAGAAGCATACGTTCTACCAGAGAGGAATTCGCAAAGCACTTCCAGAATAAAAAATCCTGACACTTACCCTCCAACTGCAACAAATGAAAGGGATATAATCAGACGACCAACAGTGACAGGTGATGGACGCCCTCTAAGACGTAATCGACCTGCAGGACCTTCAAGGAGACGCCCTGCAGAGAATGTCCCTCAGTATGCTCCCTTGCCTCTTGAAGATATAGCTGATGATTATGATCAACCATATGATCAAGAGCCTAGAAGGCCAGTGCGACCAGCTAATGGAAGAAGGAAACGACCTCAGCAGGGCTCTGGTAGGCAGGAAGATTACTACAGACCCACAGCCCAATCAACACGACAAGATCATGATTATTCGCATCAACAAAAGGGCAGACAGTCTTCTAGATATGGTGATGAGGAAGATGATGAGCCTGTACCAGCATCCAGACCTGCTTATATTAGCACAGCACCAGGGAGCAGTAGCACAAGACAAGTGCACAGGAAGAGAGTTCATCAACAGCCACAGGCCACTGTTGATGAGTATACACCTTCCAGATCACAGGCTTCAGAATCAATGGTTTACAGATCAGATGGCCAACGGAAACACGCCGCACCAGTTAGGAAACCTGTGACATACTCTGAAGAACCATCAGAAGAAACAGATTATTATGATGATGAAGAGCTCCCAGAACAAAATTACCAAAACAGGCAGACACAAACACAGAGAGGTACCCAGGTGGCAGCAGGACCATTCAAACAATCAGTCAACCCACTTCCATCTCCACCACCTACAAAAGTGAGTACTAATGCTGAAGAAGATGATGACGATGTTATCTTACCACCGCAACGATCAGGAAATAGTAAGAGACCATTTTTACCAAGCAGAGGGGGAAATCCTTCATTACCACGTGGTTTACAATCACTTGGTTCCAAAGCTCCACAGCAGACTTCAAACGTTGATTCTTCAAATGATGACAGAACAGGGGATAAGCAAGGTAGATTTCCACAGCCCTTAACAGCTTCAAATTATCAACCCAAAGTAGAAGATGATTATGAAGAAGAAGATGCACCAAGACTAAGAACTGTGACAAGTATGGGACGTTCCCCAGACATTTCTGATGCTCTGACATCAAGACCAATCTCTCAAAGCAACTATAAATCTGGAGAAATCAGAGATTCTCTGCGTGGCCCAGTCGAAGAGGAACTTCCTAGAAGGGTACAGTCAGGTAACAATGAATATCGAAGCAAAGTAGTTGAGGATAACCATCCTAGGACTCCATCTTCTGCAACAGGAAACTTCCGAACTAAACAAGCAACTTCAGCAAATGTTGGTGAAAAAAAAACTGGTAAGTACAAACCAAATTCCCCAGAAACTGTTCAAGAGAATCCACCTCTGCCAGCCACTGGACCAAGTTCTTCAAGCTTCAGAACAAAAGATGTTGGCCTCTCAACTGCAAAAACACCAAGTGGGGATAATCCCTCAAATCAACAAATATCTCAACCAGTGAAGACACCTGTGGTAGCCTCAGAAGATATCAGATCAGTGACACCATTTGGTGTTCCAAAGGTGGCACCATCTGTTGCAGTCTACAGGACACCAACAAAGACAACCCCTAAACTTTCAATCAATTCTTCACCAAGAGTACCAGATTTGCCAGCACAAACAAACTTGGCGGACATTGATGAATCAGAATATGATGTGACACTGAATGATGCTTTACATCCAACACTGCATCCAACAAGAAGTGTTGCAACTGCACTTGTGTCATTCCCACAACAGCCAACGCTCCAGAGGGTCCAGGTGTTTAAAACTAAAATTGGATTATCATCACCATCACCTTCATTATCATCATCATCATCTCCAAATCAAGGGGTTGAAGCTCTCAGTAATGACCCCTCATCTTCTTCAACAGGTGGTCGTGGGTATCTAGCAGGTTCTGCCTCCCAGAGACACATAACAAGAGCACCTTATGCTTCACTGTCAGATCATGTCAAGGATCCCAGGCTTGTGGTCGTAGATACTGACACGAGAGGTGGACAACTGGCTTATGCACAGCAACAAGGTGGCATAGCGCAATATAACACACAACAAGCAAGGAAGAAGACACCCATCACACAGTATGATGACAAAATACCCTCTCATGATACCAATCCTCCCAGATACACTCAGACAGAATCACAATACCGAATGGGTGTTCCTAGCCATGAGAGTGGGCCTCTGTTGCTGGTAGATGATACTTTATATAGTAATGAAAGGCAAAGGTCAAGTTGGATCCAGCAGCAGCAGAGAAGGGAACCAAATGTAGGTTATGCTACATTGTACTGAAAAATAATGCATCAAAAATAGATCCATCTGAATTGAATGTTGAGTGGTCCTAAATATGATTTTATGTTTCTAAAACAGACAGTAACAAACCATTACCAATTTAATGAAGAGTCACTGGACTTAAAAATTCTTTGTATTCCAAATCACCCTTCCAATTCCCATTAAAACTACGTATCAACCTGTCAAGGGTGATTGCAGATGTTACCATACTGACAACTGGATGCATTACACACAGAACTGAATTATTGAAGAATGGTTATCAATAATATTTTTTTGTAATCAGTGTGCAGCACAAATGTGACTTGCACCAGTTAGTAATAAGGTAATATCAGTAAATAAAAATTTAATGAATGTGCTCATATATAAAATTGTGCAGTCCCTCCTCATAAGCTACAGTACCTTCTTATGGGTTTCTGTTGGACCAAATCTTAATTGTTCACCTTTCTCACAGAATGTTAGATTATCTCAAATAACTCACTTAAATAGATATAACATGTTCACTATAGTTTGTCATCAAAAGTATAAGCATATTTAAACCAGGTCATTATTTATATTCTGAATATTCCAGATACCAAATCTGGATGTAAAATATAGTATTCAACAGGACAACATTTATAATGCAGAAAACACTTGTTTGTTGTAGAATTTAACACAAATATTGAAAATTTAAGCTTCCAGCAGCTACATGAAATCATGCAAAACTGGACACAGTTGTCTATTAATTCCTGCCACATGGCAATGAAAAGGTGGTAGTAGAACTGAGGAAAATGATTGCAATTACTTTTTCACTGTACTGTGTACAAACTTGTTCATCCCACTGAGTGTACATGATCAAACTAGATGGCTGTACTTGGCTGCAATGAACACATACCATGAAAACACTTATTATTCTATATATTTATAACTGTCAGTAAAAATTAATTGTAATCAATCATACACACGTTGGTTTTCTTTTACAAACTGTTATCAAGTTGTTTTATTACTGTAATCTGCTTGTTTAGAAAAATCGCATCAAATGAACAAAAGTGTTGTTATCCTGCAGTAATAAGGTAACCCTAGTTGTGGAGGCAGCTTAAAAAAACTGGTTGTTCATAAAGTGTAGTCCATAAACCACTGTTAGTGTGTGATGTTCTGGAAGTGGCCCATGGGCTGGTCTGAAATTCTGGGGGACTAAGTAAGCATGATGTCAGCCTTCTTCAGAGACAAAAGAATATCGGTGATGGATGATAGAAATAAATAGGTTTAATGTTTTTCTTAATATCTTCTACAAAAGAAGTTTTCTACCTAACTTTATAAACATGTGAAAATAATTATGTATTAAAAACTTAACTGATATTATAACAGTCCTAGTCCTATACATATATTTGTGCTGGGATCTGAATTTCATGTGTGTACAGGTACCTGTCTAGCTAGATTATACAGCCTAGAAAATCAGTGTGTTATATGTCTTATCACAGTCTGTGAGGACATCATTACATATATTATTCACTCCTTTATGCATTCAGTTGCTCTGAAACAGAGTTATGTATCTTGGTATGGTAACATAAGCCCAAGCATGCCACATTTCCAAATCACTGTTCCATGATGAAACTAGTGATATTAAATATTTAAAATAAAATGAATTTGCACATTTTTTCAGCAACATGCATAAAGTTTAAATACCAAATTTAAATATTATTTTACACATTATGTGCCAGAGTTTCCAGTAAAAGAATAGTTGACATGTTTCTAGAGAGCTTCATTAGCGGATATTAACCCCAAATCTCCCCAGCCATGCACACCCAATGGGTTAAATAACAGACAGTGCATACAAAAATGTTGTAAAAACAGACAACCACCATCTTTAAATCATTGGCATATCAGGATTTACAGCAAACACCACTTCTTAACACAGATGTCACAGAATAACTGTCAAGATTTTTACAGATAAAATGGATTACTTTAAAATTCTTTCACTGCTGACTCTACTATAATGAGGAACACAAAATATAAGCAGAATGAATAATAATGCCAAAGCAGTTTCTCACATGACAGAACTGACCAAGTTACAAAGAAACCAAAATTATTCAGAACCACATTTAGATTGACATTCTGTGTCATGTGATTATATGCTCTGCCTGACATTTCACTTCACCAAAGTTTTATTTTCTGTTGGGCACCATTAATAGATTTACTGCTGTTTTAAAATTTAATTTTGTTCACTTCTCTCCATATATGCTATGTCATTGTAATTTATTAACAAGGAATGTTTGATAAATATCAGTCAAGATGGTCACTAAGAGATTTCAGGTGCTCACAGCTGCGTGTACGAAGATGGGTGTTTTCTGGGTTCTTGTGGCATGTAGTCTGGTAGAATTTTACTGTCACCGTAATGCCTTCATCACCAAGGCTATTGCCCTGATGATGGAGGTAGCAAGCACCTCTGAAACGGTGGGAAACTTACACCACACTACATGGCACAAGAACCCAGAAGACAGCCATCTTCAAAATTCTCCTAGCCATTTCTTTTAAATATACTAACAGACAATCATATTTCAACACAAATACATAATGATGCAGTATACTTGACAGCTGTAGGTATTACAGCCTTTTAAGTTATAAATTCTTCAAGGGCTATTTTAATTTATAATACTCAATATGATATTGATTAGATGTAACAAAGGCAATTGAAGTACTGAGTGTTTATTTTTTTAAGTTTGTAAGCTCTAATAATTCAAACTTAAATATTAAACCTCATCATTTTATTAGTGGTACTTCAAAATGGCTGTATGAAATGTCTATATTTTTGTAATAAGAACTGATGTACATTATATATTTTCTATAGAGGAAGAAACCTTTAAATGTTGCCATTTATATGCTGCAATTCGTTAAAGGAAGAAACATTTCAGAACATGGCTAGTTGTTGGCCACGACAGAAAGAAAAATGTAGATGTTACAGTTTTACATTGCAGACTGTAGTCCTTACATCAATCCAGAGAGTAAATGTAATGAGTTCCATTCAATGTATTACGTTTAATAAACAGAGTGTTAGTGCTCTGAAACACTGGCATGACTACTGGTCTTTCTGTATGTCACATTTTCTTGTGCATGGCTTGTCTCTTCCATTGCTGTGATGCTCTTATACTGCACCTTAGAATTATAATGGCATTTCTGACACAATTAGTTGCAGTTCACTAAAAGATAATATGAATCATCAAATGCTATTATGAATATCTTAATAGAAATTCCAAAGTAAAACTACAAATACTTAAATTAGATACTGACTATAGTAAAGTCTAATTATAAGCTATCAGATCAGTGCTCTAGTTCAAGATACATGTAGTAAATAAATTTAAAAAAAAAAAACACAACAACAACAACAACTACTACTACTTTCTTGCAAGTGACTACAAATCAGACAATAAGAGGATGATAGAGGCAGACACTAATAAAATGAAAACATCATACTGTCTCTATAATGAAGAAGTTCACAGTCTTAGGAATATATATTCCTGAGCTTGAAACAAAAATGCACAGAACTAAATACCACCAACCACACCTCATGTATTAATAATATATACAGTGAAAAATATAGAGATGACTGTTTTCTGGAATGTGGCACTATGTAATCTGATAAATATTAACTGTTTCAAAACAGTTTATTGCCTTACTAGTGATAATTCCTTACTACTATCTCCCTGGCTAGTATCCTATCTTATGTTGAGATATCTATCTCTATTTATTTGGTTATGAACTTAGAACTGTTTCATTCCGGAATTCTTTCTTCTACTAATCTGGAACACTAATCAAATCATCATTTACTTCACAAACTTTTGTGATATCCTAAAACCTCCTCAGCTAAAAAAAATCCACATTATGTAGAGGGTACTTTCTTATGAATTCTGCAAACCTGTTTGAAATTTTAATATGGTACTCTTGTCTGCCTTGAATATCACTCAGTTTTTAAATTAAATACCTGTTCAATTCGTTTTTATGTGCTGCGATCCAACTTTAGCACTACATATCTTACCAACATTTTCATTTAACATCTACAAAATTAATCAAATATGCATTATAAT